CCCACAGATTTATCAGCGTTTGATTGATAATGCTCTATATGGTTATCTTAAGATCGGCACCGATAAGGATGTGAATGCAACGGATCATCCTAAGTTAACTGATGTGTTTACTGAGGGAGAGCCGAAAACGGATCAAGCATCGTCTGTGCTGGGTAGACGATCTTATACTGACGATCTATTGATCCCGGTTAAGTCATGGACATCTTTGTACGACAAGGTCGACAGATTATTGACAGCGTGCGATCGATGGAATTTGTCGATCAGTCTGACCAAGAGCTTTTGGGAACGGCGTAAGGTGGATTACTTAGGTCATCAGGTATCTTCGACTGGGTCAGAGGCCAATCCTATAGATCTAGGATCGCTGGTACCACGATCCTAGATCGTTCCTTTTCCCACAACTTTGCCATCCATGCAATCCTTCCTGGGTAGCTTGAACTATTACAGTCGTTTTATAGAAGATTTTGCAGTATATGCATCTGTGTTGTACGAGTTTCGAGAGGCGAATTTCTTGAGATGATCCATATAAGAGATCATGATGCGATGTCGGGAAGCTGCGATAACACATTACTAGGGGGTTAGCATGATCCAAATGAGAAATCTAGGTGGGAAAGGGCCGCCATTGCATTCACTTTACTGAGGCCAGGATCGCTACAACCCCGATCCTCAAACATTTCGATCCAGATCGACTTCCAGTGATCGTGGTATATTCTAGTTAGTGGAGTGAGCAGTATCGGCATCTCTTTTGCAAGAATATGACGGCGTATACTGGCCGGTGACATTCACGAGTCGTACACTGAAGCCTAGTGAAGTTGATTATGGTACGGTGGAGAAATAAGTTTTAGCCCTACTCCGAACCCTGGAAGTGTGCTACACCATGCTAGTGTCCCGAGAGCATCATGGTGCTCGCTTGATATTCGACATTAGCTTGGCTAGTTCAATCTTCTGGACTTAATGGGAGACTGGGAAGATAGGCTGCGCTGCTATCGAATTGGACACTGGAGGTCAAGAGATGTAACAAAGGAGAGGATGAGATACTAGGTGCTCTCGCAGCTAGTATAACTCCGCGAGATGATGTAGATGATTTGTTGATTGCGATCGCTCCACAGAATAAACCTGAACAATTGGTAACTATGCTACCTCCCACGGTAGGTACGGATGAATGCCTGTTGGTGGTCAGGTTCGACGGATCGGCACGGACAAAACGGAAGAGCGGGGCATATAGTGCGATCGTGTGGAAGCTACCAGAATGGACCATCATCTCAGCCGCTTCGGAATTCGCGGCAGATCTGACGGTGAATGCAGCAAAATATCGTGGCATGTTGTTGGGTCTCAATCTGCTGGACAACCAAACTAGGGGGCGAGTCATTACATGTGGTGACTTGAACCTAGAGATCAGGCAAATGCGGGTAGAGATGGATTGTAAAGCGCCCGTTATTGCGTCATAAAGCAATGCAGAAACTTTGATCTTGGGTTATTGCGTCATAAAGCAATGCAGAAACTTTGATCTTGGCCAAAACACGAGTTCTTACATGAAGAGGGAGTGGAACCAAAGCGCGGATCGACTAGCCAGTGCAGCTTTGCAGCAATAAGAAGGTTTCATTGTAAACTTAGGATAAAAATTGCAAGATTTGATATCACTCAACAGGCTGCACGAGTTTCTTCTGCCGGAAAGGACGGGTCGCGTGGTAAAAATGATAGCGATCACACGATCCGCGCGGCGAAGACGTCAACAACCCGACGCTTCACAAGAAGAAATAGTGCAGCGGATGCGGATCGAGCGGATAAAACAAGCGCAAGAGGAAAAGAGCTGGATCGCCAACCTGAATAAATATCTTGTGGGCGAACTGACCCAGTTAAACGCAGAGGATGCAAAATTTTGCGCTCGGATTGCTCCAGACTACGAAGTGGACGAAAACGGATTGCTGTTCTACAGCCCCCGATCCGCTAAGGAATCGGACGATCGAATAGAGATGGTCCGTCTGGTTGTACCGGAATTGTTGCAGCAAGATTTTATGCACCATTACCACACAAGCTTGGTAGGTGGTCATCAGGGAATAGGGAGGACTTATCAGCGGATCAGATCCAATTTTCACTGCAGAGGATTGTATCGGAGTATACAGCGCTATGTTGGCGAATGCGTGGACTGTACAACCGGGAAGGATATACCCGCGATCCGCGGCAGACCCCGGGAAACATACAGGCTATATACCCATTTCAGGTGATCGCGATGGATCATATCCCATCATTGCCGCGATCATTTAAAGGAAACACAGAACTGCTGCTGTGGGTAGATTTTTTCTCTGGGTTTGTGATTGCGAGAGCAATATCGTTAAGGACCGCGCAAACGATCGCTGAAGGATATAAAGAATGCGTGTTTCCAAGATTTGGAGCCAGTGAAGTTAAACGTCACGACAGGGAGCCTGGATTTATGTCCGACTTTTTTCGAGCATTTAATCGGATCGCAGGGCAAAAGCAACGTGCGACCATGGCGTACCTACCTCAAGCGAACGGAACTGCGGAGCGTATGGTACAGACGTTAACTCGGTCGATAAAGATGCACGCCACGGATGTAGAACAGAAAGACTGGGATGAATATGCATAAAGATTGACATTCGCTACGAATACGGCACAAGATCGGATCCGTGGAGATAGTCCGTTCTATTTAATCCATTGCTGGGATCCAAGATCGACATTGGAAGCAACATTACCGTTGGGGAGCACTAAAACACGCGATGCTGACCCTAGAAGGTGGCGATATAATGTCCAACGTCAATACCAGAGGACAAGAGCAGTGGTAAACGAACGTCTCAAGATCGCGATCCAAGATCGATAGAATCGACACAATGACAATAATGAAGTGTGTGATAATAAGTGCGGATCGCAAGTTTGGCTCTACTTGGACCGAGTCAAAGACGGCTATGCTCGAAAGTTGGCACATATGTGGCATGGGCCGTTCCGAGTGGCGGAGTTATGTGGGGAACATGCTGTTCGGGTGGAGATTTCAGGAACTCCATTCCAATTGTTCCCGATAGTGCACGTCTCCAAGTTATAGCCAGTTATACAGTCTCCCGATCGCCTAGGCAGTGTGCTAGTGACTGACTGTGAGGATCGTCTGGATTTCGATGAGTCGTTGTTGCCGAAAGATAGTTGGGAAAACGAGTTGGCTGCCGGCGAATACGAAGTGGAGAAATTTTTGGATGTACAATCAGGCCGTAAAACTCGTTGTGGCCGAGTACATCAACAGTTTTTGGTTCAATGGAAGAGACACAACGATCCGACCTGGATAAACGAAGCGGACCTGAACTGTGGCGCGTTGTTGCAAGATTTCAAGCGCAGTCGTGCGAGTCAAAATCTGTTTGAAGTTATGCAGTCCTAGGAGGAGGAAAACGAGGATAAACGGGTAATCTAAGCGATGAGCGGTTGGCGCATGCTAAAAGGTGGACGTGAAATGGTATATGGGCGAATGTACAAGGAGGTTGTATGAGATGATGGATCGGGATATATGTAAAATGAGTGGCGATAGCGGATCGAAGGGATCCGATCGCGGATGAAAGCCGAAGAAAAGAAGTTGATCTCAGGATAAAGAACAAGATGGAGGATCAAGAGAGATTATATTGAATCATGGAACAATGTGGAACGAATTCTAGCAATGAAGCAGGAAAGAACTTACCTGGTAATCGTACAATCGATGATCCGGGGTGGTCGCCGATAGAGGATCGATACTGGGAACGCCAAGGTTCAGCGGCATCCAGCAACGGAAGAGCAGCGATTAAATTAAAGATTCCCTTCGGTTTTGCATCCCAGGCCAGGATACCAAGGGGGAACCTCTTTGAAAGAAGGGAAGTGCAGAATGAATGGATCCAACAGAATTTCCATGTCACAATGACCTGAGATCATACCTTGCAAGATGAATCGAAGGATCCCTTCCACCGAGTCCCAGCTCGCCTCCGAGGCTGCTTCCGCTGTTTCCAGAACTGGTCCAGCTCAGGATCGCTGTCCCGCTGTTCATTGAAAAAGAAGATCGCGTGCGTCGACTCCCACAAAGCCTGTCGGTTTCGATCCTCGAGCTCCGAGTATAGAGAGGCGATCTGGTCAAACCAGCCGGTACGAGGGAAGGCGATCGGCGCAATCCGACGTTTGGCTGTCTCCCAAGGTTTTTTCGTCTAAGGCCGCGATCTGGGCCAAAAACGCCAGCCGAGGTGTCCACTCATGTGTGAGAGGAGGACACTTGTGCACCACTACCGTCGGGAAGATATAGCCTTTGGGACGGGATAAGTGACGGTACAGGAAGTCAGTGTCCATCTCCGCGACGCTCGTTTAACTGACCTTGCGTGCCGACCAAAGAGAAACCTGAGTGAACGATCGCGGTACGCGATATCGATATCCAGGGATCCACTGGTCGCGAGAGACCTTGGTAGGGGGCAAGCTATCATAATCCGGCAGGGATAACATCGGATTGACGAGATCACGAGGCGAACCGAAAGGCTGATGGGACCTTCCGAGTCGCTGGACGCTTCTCCGAGAAGGTATGCGCGAGATACCTTGGTCACGGTAGGAATAACAGGATCAACTACAGGGGGAGGATCGCGCGAAGGGCTCGGCGTGTCTATGACGATCGTATCCGGAGAAGGCCCAGCCGAAGGTTGTGCCGCAGGATTGGACGCTCGACGACGACTGGAGGATCGCGAACCAGATAAAGCCGCTACAGTATCATCCCCACCTGCCGATTTATCCTCCGCCTCAGACGAGATTAAGCCCGGACCACGGCGCCTCTGCTTGCCTAGTTTCGGGGTAGCTGCAGGCTTCGCTGGATCATGGCGATTCTTGAGATCGCATCAACCCTTAGAATCGCGAATTCCCTTGGGAGCGGACGGAGGCTTCGGATCACAAATTGGGAACGGCTTTGCTTTAGCAGTAGCGGATCGTGCCACTTTGAGATCGCAAACTAGGAACGGCTTAGCTTTGGACGCAGCGGATCGATTCGCTTTCTTGAAAGGCGGCTAAGTTGATGATGGTAGAAGATCGCGAGATCGCTTGCGAATCGATCCTGAACCGTTCGACATCGGATGAGGAGTCACGGGAACGGGAGTGTGGGTAGACGATCCCACCTTCGTAGGTGTGGCTGAAGTATCCCCAGACACTAGCAACGCCATGCGATCCCGAAGGGTCGTGTGATCTCGCAATGCGAGATCACGTTCGGAAGCCACGTCCGCGAGCTGAATTCGCATCTGGTCCAACGTATCGTCACGATACGATAAGATGCGACGCAATTGATCACACTCTGCGGATAGGGCGGATATAGAATTCTGCGCCACGCCCAGTTCGGCCTCAAGCCCCGATACCTGCTTGAGCGCGCGAAAAGGCTTTTCCTGCTCGGCCTGGAGACCCGCTACTTGTGTGAGTGCACGACGCAGCTCCTCTTGGAGTTGGAGGCCGTTTTTTTTGTATTTCGACTTCTTGCTGTTGGCCTTGTCCAGGATGTGTAACAACTTGTCGCATTCAGCCACCAACCATTCTCCCGCCTCGTCCATATGCTTGCGTATCTCGGCGATCTCACGATCGGCTTTCTCCTGTGCGGCATGAAGTGCTCGCACAGTCCGAAGAATTTCAGATTTTAGATGTTCGGTCAAGACGGTCTGGTCGACTCGGTCGTTCCACGCCTCCCGAAAGGCTTCGGACCGCTTGACCTTGTCTTTATAAAAAACGCGCAAGCGGTCGTAATTCGATTGGACGATGGAAAGGGGACGCGGAGATGCAAGGCTCCTGAAGGTCCTCATTCAGCTGGCGATTCTGGATCATCTGCTGCTCCAAAGCAGCCTCCATACTCTGTTACCGATCCACGATGGTCTGTTGGAGATTCAGGCGAAGGTAAAGTGAATCAATCGCTGCGTTTAACGCGGCTCGATTGACCGAGCCCAATGCTTCGATCCGAGTACTTGGGAGCAAGATGGGCTCTCTCGGATCCGGAGTTGGGACGTTTTGGCCGGCGGAGGTCCTGTCCGGAGCGGGGATCAAAGAGTACTGCGACAGGGGGATCGCGATGGAAAATCAACCATAGCCTTCGCCCATCTGGGCCGACGTTACCACAGCCGAGCGATCAAACTCGATCACCGGTACGGTGAAGGCGTCTGAGAACGCAGGACTGATAGGCGTCGAGGTTCCGATATTTTCAGCTGGGATCGCAGAGGGCGATCTGAGGGGCTGCGATTCTGAAGTAGGAGGATATCTACCTGATCCGGGTGGGCTGGATCGGACATCGTGTCAGAAGATGCGAAAGTGCATGAAGAGATATAAAGCACACAAGGTTGCACAGCCATATTAACACCGTTTGATGACTGACGGTGCAGGGGAGGGTTGTGGAAAAGCGGTCACTAGCTTCGCATCAACCCTCCCCTGCACTTGGATCGGCGATGGCACGGATCGCCGGCTCCAGTTAAGCCAAGAATGCTATGATTGGTGGATACAGGCCGGGACGGGTGGCCGGCAATAGCGTACCAAAACTCCAAGTGGACAGGATCGTACAGCCTGGGACGAGGCTATAGGGTGGTCAAACCCGTTTTGATTACGCAATCCGTCATGAGACGTGGCAAGACAAGACCCCCGATCTCACTGGAAGACCGCGATCCTAACCCAGGATCGCAAGTCCGATCTCCAGCTGCGATCCGCTAGTAGGATCAAGATCCGCTAGTAGGATCACGATTCGCTAGCGGGATCATGGGGATATCTTGGGTGGGCCGCAAGAAGATACAACGACTGATATACTGGGTGTGGGCCACACAAATGCGAGGGGACGATCTTCCTGGATAGGCGACGAGTGGCATCTGGTTAGGATATACGGATAGGCATAGGGGTAGGGTTTAAGTTGGTTAATTGACATTAAACAGAGTTCAATTTACTTCACAAGGCACACGTTATCTCTTCCGGGTAGGATATTTGGCCCCCCGTCGAATAAAGAGTCGCGCTACACGTCTACGCAAGTATCACACCTGTATTGTTTTTGGCCAGGTGTGTTCAAGAACTCTCAAGCAACATCACCTGCGATCGGACGCAGCAAAACACGTAAAGGCAAGGCGCAAGATCGCGAGACGGCTCAAGCGGTCAGAAGACTCGCGGATCAAGCAACCACATAGTGGACAAGGCGATCTCGTTGAGATCAGGGTAGCTTATATCAGTACCCACAAGTACCCCGTGATCGCGTGAAGATTTCCGCACGATCACAACCCCATTCCCAACACGGTCAAGTTTTCCTTCGACACGAGTCCACCTGGAAGAGCGCAACCCGCCCTACCGACGGGTAAACAAGGTGAGGAAGGCAACACACACGGAATCGGAGTACCCCCTCCATTAGTCGGTATTCCAGCCGCGAGTGAAGAGTTGGGATCGACTCTTAAATTGAGCGATCGCCACTTCACCACAGTGCTATGCAGTTGGACCCTTCTTCAAAGCAAGTTCGTGTCACAATTTTTATGGAGGGCCTTCGTAAGGGGATCGCGAGGACGGAAGTCTTCCGCGTCAACCCCTCAACGTTTAAAGGGGCCTTTGACATAGCGTTGAATGCTGAGTTTAACTTTAAAGCCGCTCGCTATGGCACTCATGGGCATGCACAAAGATCATATGATGGAGCTGAGCCCATGGACCTCAGCCATGCTGAAGAAGAAGAATTAAGAGATCTTCGGTCTGTTGTACAGCAACGTAACGTCCGTAGATGTTACATGTTCGGGAGCACCAAGCACTTGCACACTCAGTGCTCACTGCGGAAGCCGCGTCAAAGTCGGCCGAGCCGCAATCCGCCTCCTAACCCGAAAGTGGGTACGGAGCAGGAAAACGGCGACTCCCAGTAGGCGCGGAGCGCCTTATTGGGAAGGAACTAGGTTCTGCCGAATCTTTAGGTGGTAAAGATAGACAGGGCTTAGCCCCAGACGGTCTTGTGGAAGTTTCCACGAGACGTAAGTATAAGCCAGCTTGTTAGTGGCCTCGGCTAAAATTAATGGCTTCGAAGAGTTATGGTCGAAATCAATTGACTCTGGAGCGTCAGGCATCTATCCTCAACGCCGATCCCTAGCTGGATGTCAGCAATATGCTGAGGCGCTGAAAGCGCATGAGGGTGATATTATCACTGTTCGCTTAGCGACAGGTACTTGTGTCACCGTTCCCAAAATTCCGTTGAACTAAGGTGTGAAATTCTTATTATCTATAGTATTGAACGTTGTCTTGTCCTGGATTTGGACTCGAGATGTGATCTTATCCTTGGTATGGCTTGGCTTGAACGCCATGAGCCATGGGTTGATTGGAGGTCGAATACCTTAGGCGCAACGCGCAACGTTCCTAGTGAAGCTTTGTAGAGTCATGAACCCACCTTTGCTAGATAACAAAAGCGCTATTGGCGCGCGCCGCTGACGGAGTCTGTCAGTGTGCTTGACAATGGAGTGTCTGAGCTGGTAAACTCCGATGTCATTGACAATAGTGAAATGGCACGTATCCCGTTTGGTGACACTGGTAATGACAGTGAATCACTGAATGCTGGAAGCATTGATGGCTTAAGGACGAGTCAACTTAGTGTGATCCCTGTGATGCGCGTCGAGTGGCACGTAAACATCCACAGAGTGAGGTCGGCCGTGATGGCACCCCACTAAATGTCAGTAATGACATTGTTGGCGACACGTCAAGGCACAAAAGGCTATGCTCAACGGATGCGAGTGTAGTGGCACGTATAAATCCACGGAGTGGGGTCGGCCGTAATGGCACCACGCTTAATGTCGGTAATGACATTGGCTCTAAAATAGAACAGGTCGTGGCTTAAGACAATCTTCACCTCGTGGAACCGGATGTTCCTAACACGTTGAAGTGTTCATTTTCTGTGCAGACACGACAGCGACGCCAGATGGCGCCTGTGAAAAGAAAGGCTTCTGTTATGACATAGAAGGGCACTAGTGAACAGTCGCAAACGTTAGTCAATGGGGTGTCGGGTGTGATTGATGGAGAAGTTGGCCTCGAGACCCTCCCTCGATCAATACTCTGCTAGAGCAAGAAGAAATGTCTGTAGACGAATTTCCATCAAGCCTTAAAGGCTGGTACTTTGTCCGATATGGAGGTCCTTAAACCTGAGATTTATTTGAACTCCTCATCCCTTGTAGATGAGACACTCCCTGAGGACATTAAAGTTGCACTCAGTGCTCGCAGTGGATCTGCCATTACTAAGGATCCTTCGGATTCTTTTATTCCTTTGGTAAAGGAATTCAGGACGTGGTGTGCCATGATTCACCATCCAATATACCTCTCTACAGAGGTGTGCGTCATATTAATAGACCTGGTCCCTGGGACCTAATATTGTGCTACACGTCAATGGCCATTGCCTAAGGAACAGTGTGAAGTCATTGACGAGTTCTTTCGTGCAAAGCACGCGGCAGGCATGGTGCGGGAGAGCAAATCTCCACACTCGACACCGATGTTTTGTGTCAGAAAGCCCAATGAAAAGTGGCGAATTTTGCACGCTTACAATCAGGTCAATGCGGCCACTATACCTGCGCAGACACCTGTTCCAAGAAGGCATGTTCTTCAGAACGCTATGGTGGATTGCACCATGTTTAGCGCACTCGACTTAGTCGATTATTAATATCAACTGCTTATGCGAGCGATTGATATCCCGCTCACAGCGCTTAGCACGCCGAGTGGCATGCTTTGGGAGTGGCTTGTTATGCCTCAGGTACTTTCTAATGCACCAGCAACCTTTGATTTTCTCGTGACGCCGTTGTTCCGTCCTCATGGAGGATATGCACAAAGCTATTTGATGACATTTTTCCACAGCCGTGCACAACAAGGAAGATCAGATGTGGAAAATCACATTGACCATTTACGAGCAGTGCTCGGGTGCTTGCGCACAAACAAGTTGTATGCAAATGCATTTAAGTGCATTATAAATGCTGAAGAAATCCCTTTTCTAGGGTTCTTCATTAGAAAGCGTGGCCTACAATCTGATCCCGCTGAAATAAAAACCATTGTGGTTTGGCCGGTTCCGTCTGACCCAAAAAGACTTGCGTAAACTACTTGGTTAAGACAATTACTTACACAAGTATAGTGCAAATTATGCTGACATGGCACGGCCATTAACCAAACTCTTCAAGAAGGATGCATTTGGTGCTGGGACGTAGTCCAAACTCAAGCTTTTCAAGCTGTTTAGGAGAGTCTCTTTTGTGCTCCAATTTTGGCTTTGCCTGACCCAGAGCGACCTTTAAAACATTTAACTGTCGTCTGTGACGCATCTGATTTGGCCATTGGCAGTGCATTGTTGAAAACTGATGTCGACGGACGTGAGCGCGTCATTGCGTATGAATCGCACCAGCTAAAAACTGCTGAAAAGAACTATCAGTTCATGGCAAAGAGTTACTTGCAATAAAGTATGCTCTTGTCAAGTTTAGAGTTCATCTACTTGGCTTCAAGCCGTTTGTAATCGACACGGATCATGCGTCGTTGCGCACTGCGACCCAGTTGCCTCAACTCTTGCAATGTATGGCCCGTTGACTTTCATTGTTCGTTGATTATAAATTCAAGGTGAAGTATAAACTAGGGAAAAAATGCTTTGGCCGACGTGTTATCACGCAGGCCGGATCATAAGCTTGCTCATATTACGACTCAGTCGTCTTCTATCTTTGCTTTAATCCGTGCGGCTTATGCCAAGGATGATCAGTGTGTCGCGTTGTTACGCGCACTCGGTTGTGACGAGTTTAAAGACTCGGACATTACATTGTCGGTACGCTCGCGTGCAGGGATATATCGATTT